TGTTGTAAGCGTCTCTTGTCGTCGCCGAGTCGGGGTCTAAGTTCGGCTCAAACATGTAAGGCCGGACATATTACCGGTGTTTCTATTTACTTTACTTGTATCACCAATCCACAGCAGGCTACAGCATACATGACCCTAGTTACCTGTGGTTGGCCTGGCCGTGCATCACTCAGAAAACAACAGGCCAATCAGAAGAGAGGCTCATGAATATTAATTAGACAGGCCAAAATCGACCGTTCTTTGCAGAGCTCCTGAGAGAGGAGCTGTAAAAATATATTGAGATGGTTTTTGGTACTTATACCGCAAATATATATTCTTAAGGGCATCAAGACTTAAAATAAAACTCCAGAAAGGTGTAAAATATGTGACCTTTAAATGTAATACTTATTGTACTTAATAAGGGTTATTGTTCAGTATTTCCATGAATTACGTAGATTGGTTGAAATCATTCAATTTGCATTCATAGTGTTGCTATTATGTTGGTAATTAAATGTAAATATTATTATGCCTGTATATAAGTCATAGAATCATTTTACCTTTCTGATGAATCACTTTTACTGGGCTTCTTCTTTGTCTACATTGGTATTTCAATTATTCAACTAAATTGTCAAAATAAAAATGTAAATAGAATAGTTGATTTAGTATTTTACATTAATGACACTAAAATATATAGAAATATTAATAAGAATTATATCAAAAGTCTTGCCTCCTGGGTAACCATACCTGGGTAAAATGGCCTCTTTAAATATTTTTACATTTGTTCTATGACAACTAAATTAGCAAATGTTTCTATTTATTTCCTATAATAACACACTGGATGATGCATCATCATCCTGCACATGTATATCTAAATATGTTACAATTTAAAAGTAAATGCACATTGTTTTCTAAGAGGGCATCTTCTCTTATTTGATTTATTTACCAAACGCATAAGAGGATGACCTATAAAAGTGCAGAAGTTTTGCTGTAAACTTGCACAGCGTCAGTCCTCCCCGGAGCATCCTGGGGTTAAATGCTTTGCTTAAGGGCACAATTGTGATAGTTCACAGCTCTCTCCTTCTGATTACCAACTCTAAGCTCATCCACATCCCACCACAAATGCTGTCATTTCCATCAGTAATAATGTTCATGTGCCACCAGTATGGCAGAGCAGCACTACTCCTCGATAAAGCTGCTCATGTTCAGCTCTTCAGCAATGTAATCAGTCCTAATCCTGTCTATTAACACTATCTGCATTCGAGCTGCAGGCTTAAGCAGTCTTAACTGAGAGGATATCAGTCTGATGTGGGATTTCAGCCTGACAGGGGCTGAAGACCTGATCACACCTCAGGTTATTATTGCCAGTTTGAACACTTGCTCCCACTCCACTGAATGACTCAGGTCACAATTTGTCTTTGCTTGGTGGAAACAGTCTGTGGTCTAATTAAATTGTGCCTTTACCAAGAAACACTTGGTAAAAGTTTATAGTGTACAAATCTGTCAGCGGTATGTCAAGGTGATCTTGCAGATGGCCACACACTAGAGACGCAACATACTGTAGGCCTGTAAGATCATGCTGATAGTGTCAAATCACAGCATGTGAAATGAGCAAACTGGAGACGACATAGTGCATGAGTGCTAGGTTAAAGGAAACACAGGGATTTGACCTTTAACTCAAAAAATGTGAAGTTATAGTCAGTTCTGGAGAATTGCGATGTTATGCAATGAGAATTGCAACTTATATAAAACTTCAATAGCTGTATTTTAATAAATCCTATTTTTAACTGGGTTCAATCAATGTTAAACTATGTAAATGTTAAAAGCATCCGTGACAAATCTCTACAAGCAAAAATCTACAAGCAAAAATGTACAGTTATGCACTTGCAAACAAAATCTATTTTGTTTTGAATCTAGAAGATTCGTTTAAAGAAACAATGACAGAAATTATTTTCCTTGGGTTGCGTTTTGAGAATGGAATAAACATTCAAACAATACTGGAAATATAACATGCTGTCAATCCAATGTCATTTTAGTATTATTTATATACTACTATAGTTTGTATTAATAATTTAAATGTGTTGCCAAGGAAACATTTTACATCAAATTTTTATATTTTATTCTATTTCAGCTTTATTTCAAGTAACTATTTATTTATTTGTATTAGTTTTTTTTTTGTTAAAGATAACAACACTGCCTCATTACTGTTTCATACTGGCATGCTATTATCCATATTCAGTGAACCTCTTCAAATATCCAAACTAGGAGCTGGATAAGCAAGATTTTACCTGCTGATTATTTTCCTTGGGTTGCGTTTTGAGAATGGAATAAACATTCAAACAATACTGGAAATATAACATGCTGTCAATCCAATGTCATTTTAGTATTATTTATATACTACTATAATTTGTATGAATAATTTAAATGTGTTGCCAAGGAAACATTTTACATCAAATTTTTATATTTTATTCTATTTCAGCTTTATTTCAAGTAACTATTTATTTATTTGTATTAGTTTTTTTTTTTGTTAAAGATAACAACACTGCCTCATTACTGTTTCATACTGGCATGCTATTATCCATATTCAGTGAACCTCTTCAAATATCCAAGCTAGGAGCTGGATAAGAAAGATTTTACCTGCTGTAATGTATAATATGTTTGGCCCATTTCATCAGACTTTTGCCACAGGATCAAAACAATTACATTTTTTAAGTAAACAATGAAGTAACTTTTCCACACATTGTTTAGAATTCATCTTACTGGCCACATAACTATAACAAAGCTGATATAAATTATAGTTTACAATCCATAAGCAAGACTTCATTAATGAAGGTAGATGAATGAACATCTAATACCGTAAATCAAAAACTAATTCTAAGAAACTCAATATGAACAGACTCTTTAGTAATGCAACTGGTAGACAAAAGAAAGACTTCATAATAAGCTATTGAAAAACATGTTTACTCTAATTGATAACAGATATTCATTACATGCATTCATTGTGCCAGTATATGTAAACCTGTGGTAAAACCTCATGTGGTGAGATATGTGTGACAAAAGCTTATGTAACTTATTTTAACATGATTTTCATAAAAAGGAACTGGCTGCTGGGGTAATATAATCTAGCATGTAGAAACAAAATGCAAAACCATCATGTATTTAACTTTGTGAGACCTACACTTCCATTCAAATACTGGGGTCAGTAAGATTTTTTAAATAAATTAATATCTGTATTTAGCAAAGATGCTTTAAATTGATCAAATTTTTATGTTGTTACAAAAAAAGATGATACTTCAAATAAAATCTGTTCTTTTGAACTTTCTATTTATCAAAGAAAAAAATCTGTTTTCAACATTGATAAGAAATGTTTCTTGAGCCGCAAATCAGCACATTAGATTGATATCTGAAGGATCATGTGACACTGCAGACTGGAATAATGATGCTGAAAATTCAGCTTTGCCATCACAGGAATAAATTATATTAATAAATAACATAAAATATATTAAAATATAAAACAGTTCTTCTAAATTGTAATGATAATTCACTGTATTACTGTATTTTTTTTTTAATCAAATAAATGTGGCCTTCTGCATTTGAAAGAGACTTTTTTCAAAACATTAAAAGTTCTTAAAGACCCAAAACATTTGACGCTTCACATCACATCACGCTATATGTTTTAGTCATTATTTCTTTCAGACTCATTTTTGACTGAATGAGATATATTTAGATTATTCTGATAGGGCAACAAGCAATCTATGTGCAAAAATGTAGTTTATCTATAAAATGAAAATTATGCCATTATTTACTCACTCTCATGTTGCTACAAACCCGTATGACTTACAGAGTAGATTCAATACAGTCAGTATTTTGACTGCCTGCCATAGCTTGATAATATTAAATAAGCATGTTGGACATAAAATGAATCAGATTTTGTGAATTCCCATGTTTACCAAATGCGTGTGAAATGGACAACACAATGGAGCAAATTATCTATTTAACGAACCCCTTACACAGACCAGAAAGCTCAATTAGGATTTAATTTGTAGTGTAATTAGCTGTCATTTTTTCCGTTATTAGTTCCAAGGACAGGGTGTAATTAGGGGGCAGGGGACTTCTCAATCAGGCTTAACATATTTTAGATTCAGTCCGTGAGCGTGGCTGATTGTATTCCTTGTATTCCCTCAGGAAACTCCACTGCACGCGGAACTACATCCACATGCACCTGTTTGTGTCCTTCATTCTGAAAGCCATCGCCGTCTTTGTCAAAGATGCGGTGCTCTACGATGTTATTCAAGAGTCTGACAACTGCTCCACTGGTTCTGTAAGTTTATTATTGCACAGTCTATTTATTTAATTTTGAATAAATCCCTCAGGAGTCTGTAATAGTTTCAATTAGCAAACCATGTGACATCCACACGCACCAAACCATGTATTTATCAAGCAGTGTTAGTAATTAAAGATGGCGGCGCGTTCACACGCTGCGGCTTCTCTCTCTCCCGACAGAAAGGTGTTTTCGTGTTTTTTGTCTTGTGAGTCGCAGTGTTTTTGTACGTATTCGTCGCGTCTATCTGTCTCGAAGCGCGCATACAGTCGTGAGTTTCTGCTCGATGTCGGCAGAACCACATTTTTAGAGTTAAACTCTGCGCACGCCGAAGAGCTGCGGGATCTCAGCCTGCTCCGGAGGCCCACACCATCACCGACCCCCACTACTGCATCTCGCCCACAGCGGAGGCGCCACAAGCGGCGTGAGAGGAAGCAGAAGAGGGGTAAGCACGGAGGTATCCGGGCTAGGCTAGCGGCTAACCCACACAAGCCAGCTATCCCCACCATCGTACTGGCTAACGTACGCTCTTTGGACAATAAACTG